TTATTATTATTATTATTATTATTATTATTATTATTATTATTATTATTATTATTATTATTACTATTATTAGCCTTATTATGGGTGGTAATTTTTCGAAGCAGATCTAGTTTAGAAAATAGCACGTTCGCACAGATACCTATGAGATAAGATGGTATGAGTAAGCGAAAAAAACGGCTGTCGCATGGATGAAAGGAATAGGCCTGAATGACTGTCCTCTTAGCTGTTCTTTGAACTTTGAAGACCACTAACGGAAAGTTCAGGGAGACAATGAGCAAGGACTATCCCTGAAAACAACTGCCGAACCCATCGACGGGCACATTCCAGTCGCCTATACCTCGGTGTCGCCAGCAACGACCATGATGTACAAGTGGTTGGAATGGCATTAATGTCTGGGATGATTTGAGGGCATTCATTTGCTTGAATCGGTATGTGTCCATCAGTTTGTAGGCATCTTTCTTACGGCATAGACTCCTACCCGAGAAATTGGGACTTATCACAACCATAAGAAAAGACCAGCAGAAGTGAAAAAATGGATCATTCCGGCGAGCCGACTGGGTGGAAGTGAATTCGATTGAGATGTCCAGAAGAATACTGAGAGTGAAACGGCTAGTCTTAAAAGTGAAGAACACAAAAAAACATTAGAAACGGTCGCGGATCGAGGAACCGATGGGGATTATCCATCACTTCGATAACCTCTTACAACAGCAAAAGGACCAGAATCCGGATTACAAATAAGCTATGACCTCAGAAGTTCGAATTGAAATGAACGAATCAAGGAAACAATTCGGAAATCAATTAAAAAACACTTTAGGAAATGTAACATGTCGCCATTAATGCAGCGCGATTACCACATTTTTCAATCCGCACAGGGTCCCGCCATCGCACCTTTAATTGACAGCCGTGAAATTGGAGCGCGCCAGCCGACATTCGAAGATTAGTGGCTCCCCATAATTTCTACTTCTGATTCCCTCAGATTCAAGTTCTAAAAATGCAGACATGTCCAATCTGTAACTCCTGCTCCTTCAAAGGAGGGATCTGAAAATAAGTGGGTACGACAAGTAAGTTCAGCTGAAAAACGGAGGAGGGTAGAGCCTCTTCCGTTTTTCAGTTAAACTCTGAAAGCATTTTTGAAAGTATCAAAATTTGTCTTCAGCTCTACTATATTAGTAGTATAGGAATTTAGTTAATAGAATACTCGATAACTAATCCGAATGCCAATGATATGTATAGAATGATAACATTCCGTGAATAAATGGAGACAAGAACGAAGCAACTCACCATTCAATTGGATACTAAACTATACTAAGCTCTTTAGCTAAACTCTGAAAGCATTTTTAAAAGTATCGAAATTTGTCTTCAGATTGTATTGGTCATTATAAAGCATTTTCAAAAAAAAA